ACTACTACTACTACTACTACTACTACTATTACTACTACTACTACTGCTATTACTACTATTACTGCTACTACTACTATTACTTACTACTACTATTACTACTACTATTACTACTACTACTACTACTACTATTACTGCTATTACTGCTACTACTACTACTACTACTATACTACTACTAACTACTAGCTGCTACTACTACTACTACTACTACTGCTACTACTGACTAGCTACTACTACTATTACTACTACTACTGTGTGCTGTTGCTAGCAGTACAACAAACAAAAAACAACAATGATAACAGTGATGATAATGATGACAGCAATGATGGTGATACTAATGACAGTATAAAAAATATGATAATGACATTAATGATAATATTCATAGCAATACTAACATTTCTATTGCTGCCACAAATAATGACGACAATAATATTAATAATGATAATAACAGCCATCATGATAGCAAATAATACTGACGGTAATGATGAATGATGATGATAATGAAACTGAACAATAACAATGGTAATAATTATGAAAACTATGACAATGATTATTTTCATGATAGTAATAATGATAACAATGGTAATGATAATAATGATGATAATGATAATCATAATAACAATGAGAATAGATAGACCATAATAACAATGGTAATAAATAGATGATAATAACAATGACATAAAAAAAATAATAATGAAAACATTGATAATAATAGCATTAATATCAATGATAATGAAAACAGTAATGATAAATCATAAAAATGAAAATGATACCAATAACAATAACAGCAATAATGATAATGATGATAATATGATGGCATAATAATAATGATAATAATAAGGGCAATAAAGATAATAGCAACAATTATAATGATAATAATAACAATTATTATAATAACAATGATACTAATAGCAACTATCGTAATAATTGTAATAATACTACTAATAAAAATAATAATAATAACAACAATGATGATGATAATGATAATAATGATAACAATACTAATGATAATATTAATAATGATAATATCATAACAATAATGATGATAATAATAATAGCGATAATAAAAATAATATCAGTGTCATTGATCATGATAATAATAATGATAATGATGAAAATATAAAAATGGTAATATGATAATGATAGTAACAGTAATATCATTCATGATATCAATAACAATAGTAGCAGTAATAATAAAGGTCATGATGATAATAATTATAATAATAATAAAGATAATGATGATAATAATGATAATAATGATGATGATAACAATAATGATAATAGTAATAATAATGATAACAATCATGATAATAACAATGGCAATAATAACGTAATAATGACAATGATGATGACAATAATGATTATAATACTAATTTTGATGATACTAATAATAACAATAATGACAACAATGATGATGATAATAATGACAGTACCACTAATAATACGACTTCTACTACTACTATCACTACTAGTGATGATGATGATAATAATAATAATAATGTTAATGGTAATAATAATGCATCGACCTCAAGATAGCGTTTGACTTGGTGCATCGCAAATCCTACAGAGAGATCCTGAGACTTAGAGGAATGCCAACAAGGATTATCGGATTAATAGCAAGCCTGTATACTGGTTCTGAATGTGTTGTTAAGTGTGGTGGAGGCCTGGCAAGCTTCTCTCATGTTTGTTCAGGAGTGAGGCAAGGCTGTGTCCTCGCGCCAACACTTTTCAACACTCGTATGGACTGGATACTGGGCAGAGCTACTGTCCGATGTGGAGCAACATTGGGCAGTATCAAAGTCACTGATCTTGACTTTGCTGACGATGTTGCTTTTGTTTCTGAAACCCTGGAATCCCTGGTGGTGGCTCTTGATGTATTCGGCAATGAAGCGAAGCCCTTGGGTCTAGAGATCTCCCGGACCAAGACCACGATCTAGGATTTTGGGGGCCTGTTAAAAAAAGCCCTATCACA